TGTTGATAGAAATAAATAGTCGTAAAGTTTTGAAGAACATTTTTCCCCATGCACGAATATTCTTTTAAGAATCAAGGGAGTTCAAGATTAATTATATCATGCTCTTTTGAAACTCCAGATAGATTATAGATGCAATCTCAGTTGGAAACCTTGTTATAACAACTTGACAGCTGCCTTAAATGCCTCTCGGCAATTGCCATCATAGCCAAAGATCATACCAATGAGCATGCGAATGTCATTTTTTTCTTATTTTGGTATAATCCAGTTATAAAAACTGAATTTATAATTCTGGCAATTGTCCAAAAAGTTATAGCCTCATTGCTTTTCCTCCTTAGAATGAGACTAGTTACACAGCTTTGTAGCAAAATAATTGTCAAGGAACTGCCAAATGATATATGGGAAAGAATTTAGAAATAAGTTGAAGACATGCAGATATTTGATTCATGCCAGGCCAACCTACCAGAGAACATGAGAAAACTCAACTGCAGAAGAGAGCTTCCTATTTATTAAATCTGATTGTTTATCAGAAGACACAGTTCTTCTTCCAAGCAAGGAAAATTATTGCCCTTTCACCAGAAGGTTTTGTGTCAGTAGGACACAATTACATATTTCTTTGCTTTGAAGACATTTGTGATTTTCAGTCTGTAAGTCAAGCTATCTAAAGTTATGGGAAGTGGAGTTGAAGGAAATTTTGTTTAATAAAAAAATACATAACTGCTAACATACTGCCATTATTAATATAGCTCACTTGATCTATATTATATCTTTGAAAGAAAGAAAGCATACAGATCAGGAATGGCAAAATAAATAAATTCAAACAAGTGATGATCTGGATATATAAAAATATGAAACATAGGTCCACGATATATTTATTATTTGTTTATTTATATTTCACTTTTCTTCTAAAATGATTGGTGGTGGTTCTTATTAATGTTTTTTTAACCCTTAACACACATTATAATGTTCACCTAACATAATTTAGTAAAAAGAAATGAGAGATTACTGTGTCATTCTGAATTATAGTTAAGAATGGAATGCAACCTTTATGCACTAACAGAAAACTGGAATAGACTACAAAATAACATATTTTATAAGCACAAATAAAACACACATACATATACACCCTCATCATTAAGTCAACCAAGTCCATCAATAAGTAAAGTACACTTTAAAAATGGAATTTAAAACCTAACTCCAAAATCCCTGATGCTGCCTGCCTGCAATGTTGTCAGGTTAAAACCTCTGCAAATGTTAGGATCTAATGTATCTCCAAACTCCACCCAGGTTTATGAAGAAAGAGAGAAGTAATAGTAATTTAGTGTTCCAAGAAAAAGGAACAGAATGTGGACCTGATCTGGAGAGGATCAGAAGATGATCATAAATCCTCAAAATGGACCAGTCTAAATAATACTTGTTCCACCCCACAATTCCCCTGTTCAAAATGAAATAAGAGTGATCTCAAATGCACGCATTTTAAATTCCCACTTTAAGGATTTCAGACAACAAAATACTTATTTCACAGTAGATACTTCTATCACTGGCTGTTGAGAGCAGCTGCCTACCAAACAACAATGCTGCATAGGCATATAATCTTATCTTTTTGGAAATATAATAATCTGATAGTTATTTCATTGACAGTATGTCTGATTTAGTGCTTGCTTTAGACTAAGCTAGAATTGGTGTAAACAAGATGAGGATGACCCAGTTCCTCTATTCCTCTTCACCTCATTCCAGGTCACCTCATTCCAGGTTTTCAAAGTGACCAGGTGTGCATTTGCAGAGTTAAGACCTGTGTGTCAGACATGCAGGTCTCTTGAGATGTCAGATCTTGTCATGCTAACACATGCTTTAATTACAATCCTGTTTGTATTACTGACTGAATGCTGTCTGTGTGGGATTCCCTTTGAGAAGATATCTGGGAAACCTCATCTGGTCCAAAGATACTCAGACAGATTGTTAACCGGGGATGGCTACAGGGATAGAGCTACCAAACGACAGTCTCTTAAAGCCTAGAAATTTGTTATATGTCTTCACAAAACAAATCTAGGGTTACTTTAGGGTTACTCTTCTGCTCCTCCCTCAACCAGTTCCAAAACAATAATAAAAATAAAGCTGCCTACATATGCCACATTCCTTATCAATAGCCTCCTCACTTTCTATCCCTGTGACAACTGGATTTTGAAAAAAATGGCTTGTTGTAGAAACAAGGATTGGTTATAAAACTTCAGTGGAGACATCTTTTCCCCATGATAACTCTTCCAAAAGTTAATTTCTCTTCCTAGGAGTAGATTTCTTTTACTTCCTATTGTCTTACCCCCCTTTCTTAACTATGAGTCGTTTGTAAGTCAGATGTTCGATGTTTGGAACTCACGACCTGTCTGTACTGTTTCGTTTGTATCTATAGTCTTATTTTTAACCCTCTGTTTTAAACTACTTTTAATTGTATTTCCAGTTTAAATATATTTTAACCTTTGTATGATGTAAATGTTTAGCTTATTTTATAACTTTTGTAAACTGCCTTGGGTCCCAGATTAGGGAAAATATGAGATAGCAAAGCAAACAGCAATAGCAACAATATATGCGCAACTATGGCATTTTAAACTCTGAAAATTGGACAGTACCCAAAAATGGCAATATTTTCTAGAGTAAAACAATATTATTTAGAGCAGTGGTTCTCAGCCTGTGGGTCCCCAGGTGTTTTGACCTTCAACTCCCAGAAACCTAGCAGCTGGTAAACTGGCTGGGATTTCTGGGAGGACCTTTCCACACAGCTCTATATTCCAGAATATCAAGGCAGAAAATCCCACATTATCTGAATGTGGACTCAGATAACCCACTTCAAAGCAGATATTGTGGGATTTCCTGCCTTGATGTTCTGGGATATAGGGCTGTGTGGAAGGGTCCTGAGTTGTAGGCCAAAACACCTGGGACCCACAGGTGGAGAACCATTGATTTAGCATAAAAGAAACCTATAGATTTTAAATAAAGTCTTGTTTTCTCATATGGAAATGAACAATGCAATTGATGACTGGAATGGCTCCTGAAAGATGCCTTTGGATTGTGTGATTTTAATTAACTGATTTAATGTTTATATGTTTTAATTATTGCTTTTAATGTATATGTTGTATTATCTTATGTATACATGGTGTCGAATTGTGCCTGTTTTGTGAGCTGCCCTGAGTCCCCTTTGGAGTGAGAAGAGCAGGAAATAAATGCAGTAAATAAACAAACAAACAAATCAATAAGAAATGCTATAAAATATCACATACATTGTCACTTGATTGGACACTTTACATTATTATTCTAAACAGACCATTCTTGCTGCACCTTTACTCTTTCAAGACAGTTTTAGTATGAAGTTCTATATAGAACAAATAAATAAATAACTTAACTGAATTAATAAGAAAAGACAGAAAGCGCAGGAGAGATGTATGTGTAGATGTAGGCATAGACATGAAAGAAAAACTCAGGGGAGAGGGTGTAATGGTTCAAGTGGTCCTTGTATCTGACATTTATAAGCCATAAATGGGAAGTGTCAGCACAAGAGTTCTTATTTTCCTTACATTGATTCTAGAAACTCTGATTTCTGCTTAGCATTTTAATAACACGTTTGATGCAGACATCTAAAAGAAGTATGTTACATCTCGACTGGTGTTGTAAAATAAGCACAAGACATAACTATGTATTTTTTTCACTACAATTTTATTTTGGAAAGAGTGGATTATATCAGTAAATCCATTCAATACATAAAGTTCTTCAATTGTTTTATGTAATACCATTTTTGTAGGTGTTGACAAGCTACTCTGTACTTGCTGACATTGGTAAACATAGTTCTGGAAGTCTGCTGTCAGCATTAATGAGGTACCTAGTATTCAAAACTGTTCTTCCCTATTGGAATAGCTTTTCAAATGTTCTGGAAAGCATTGGTAGAGATTCACTCAAAATACAAAAAAAATGTGCCAACAGAAACAGCATTCACGCCACCAAACAGATTTTCCCTCATTAACACCATATCCAGAATGTTTAATTACTATTTTGCTTATTATAAGAAAGAAGGCTAAGTGGTATGTATGATTTTAAAATAGTTGAAATGTTCCCAGGTGCTGCCTATCCACAATCATTTCAAGTTCTGTACTACCATCTCGTCTCATTTGTACCCTAGAGGTTTCTCACATTCCCCATCTGGCTTCACCCTTAGTACTTAGCCAGCAAGATAATCTCAGTCTCATTTTTTTCAACTCATTTTTTGGGGTTAACAACAACCCCAAAATAGTAATACTATGATCATTAATATTTCATTATTTTCATTATACAGATTTATTTAGTTATTTAAAACATTTATAAATTATATGCATAGATAAACATTAAAAACATTTATCTCAACATTAAAATACACTGTTTAAAACCGTCTCGATTATCCGAATCGAACCTATTTGGCATGGTAAGGTTTTCTATCAATGGCTTATTGCACTGTCCCAAAAGCTTGGTCCCACAGCCAAGTTTTTACCATCCTTCTGAAGGACAGGAGGGAGGGGGCCAATCTAATCTCACCAGGAAGGGAGTTCCATACCCTATCAATCAGATCATGGGATTTTGTGGAAACTAACATACGTATTGTCCTCCAACCAACAATAATAGAAAGCCAATATGGTGCAATGGTTGAGCACTGGACTATAACTCTGTAGACCAGGACTGAATTCCACACCTGGCCATCAAAACCACTGTGGTGGCCTTGGCCAAGCCACACACATTCAGTTCCAGAGAAACCTTAGAGTCAGCATATGTAGGAAGTGACCTAATCTAGTTTTATTGGAAAAATTAGGGCAAAAGATCTGAAAAAAGGACAAAAAATCAATCAAATCAACTCATATCATTAAAAATTAATACTACAGCTATAACTCACATATTTTATGCTATTACATAAGAATACTATAAATATTGTTAAAATGCGATATCTGTTTTTGTTCTTTAAATAATAAAATGTATGAAAATAATATTACCTGCATGAGCGGATAGTGGTGAATGTGGCCGGGGCATAGCAGGTGACTGGCCATTGCATATCAAACTTTTTCTATTACTTGTCCGGCAACTACAGGAAAAGAAGAAAAAACCTAAAGTTAGAGACTAATATAAACTATAAAATTTTATTTGCTTAGTTGTTATTCACATATTTAGCACATACATTGTTTATCTAATGCTCTTCCCCTTTCTAGCCCCAAAGTTTTTCTCAATGCTTTATTGAACATTCTGAATAGTAAAGAACTATACAACATGTTTCATGTAAAAAGGGATTGCAACCTATATATCAGCAGACAAAATGTATCAAGGTTTATTGCAATCCTATTTTAAATGCAGTTATTACCCAGAAAATAAATTCACCTGCCACTGTGACATTACATAATTAATATGGACATTTTGTCTGACACAGAACAATAGTCTTGTTCATAATTATATATCAAAAAAGAGAATCATTCACAACTTCTATTCACCCTGTGTATTTGTGTTTACTCCAATAATTTATCTGTCTTATACTAATTAAAAATTTAATTATTGAGGCAAATTTCACATCTGTGCCTTTTTGTAAATAGACCAGGCATATCCTACCTACTAAGATAAATGTGTTTCTTCACTCATACATTTTTCATCTCAAGCACTTCTAATCATTATTTTTCTCCATTACAGGTAATGATGACAGGAATGGAAAACTCATACATCTACCGCTACAGATTTTCTTAAAATGTATACATTGCTATGTAACTATACTCAAGTACACAATGAATGATCTCTACCATCATAAAATAACATGTATACATTATGTAACTGAAGCTAATGGAAATGTGCACCAAAAATTTAATTATTCTAGATGTTTTAAAAGGAAAAGTATCATATTTACTGCAAACATGAGAAGCTTGTATTGAATCTAAGTCTTAGTGGCAGTAGCTCTCCAGAAAGTTATTTTGAGGACTTTCCCACACTTGCTACATGACCATTTTTCAACTGACAATGTCAAACCGAACCTGGGACATTCTGCAGTCAAATAACATGCTCTACCAGTGAGCTATGGTGTCTTCCAACACCTAACAAACAGCCACACACACAAAGCTGGGAATAGTCCATATAGACAATAAAAAATAATTTGTTCATCAAGAACCTTCTGATTAAGTCTCCTGAATACCATGTTGCAAGAAAGGTGGGTTATGAACTAAATAAATACAAAGTAACAGGGAAAGGATGGGCACATATCAGTTCAGAACTTACAGGGACATAGTTTTAGGGAAACACATCAACTGAGCTGAATCAATCTCAGAAAGATGATGTAATAAAAAGAATTATATGTGATTTGAAACCAGCTGGAACTAGAACGTTTAACAAAAGACAGGAACTCCCAATCCCCACCATGCCCAGCCAGCACTGGCAATTATCAGGAATAATGAACAATATTAAAATAGTCCAACAGCTTCTGGGAGGACACCAGATGTCATTCAGTCACAACATGACTAAAACCGCCCTACATGTCTTCCTAGGTTTTTAAGTAAATGGAAGTACTTGTGCTAACTCATTAAGGAGCTACATTCTATGCAAGTAAGGTTTCCAAACACATACCTTTCTTCACAGCAACCATCTTTCATATGGGAAACAGCCAATTATTTTTACCACCCCATGAGTCAATTGTAAATTATAATGTTGCTATTAGGATTATATTTATTTATAATCTGCCATTTTACAATCCAGGACTCAAGTTGGCCTACAAGATTAAAACAGATACTGCCTCAAAACTAACTTGATGCAGAAATTAAAAATGTAATCAACCAAACAACTGTATTAAATTAAAAACAAAGCAATTAAAGAAACAACAAATAGACATGAGTATACATTGTAAAAACCCCTTTCCCTCTGAGCAATCACCCATCAAAAGCTTACTAAAACAAAAGGGATACCAAGGAAGATGCCAGTTTCACTGCTCTAGGAAAGGAATCCCAGAGCTTGGCAGGAGACACTAAAAAGACCCTTTCCTATGTTCCTACCAGAACTGCACCAGAGTGATAGGACAACGTTTTGGACTTCCCTGAAACATCTCAAAACAAGGCATATGAGCTAATATGGTCCTTCAGATAGCCTAGTCCTTAATCATATAGGGCTTAATAACACATAGCTAGTGTTCTGAATTGTTTTCAGAAATACACTGACAGCAATAGCAACAGGGTTGTATGTTTCTTACAGCAATCCCAGCTGACTATCCAGCAGATGTTCTTTGGTCCAAATGAAATTTCTAAACACTCTCCAAAGGGAGTCCCACATACATTATGTGTGTGTGTACCTTCAAATTATCTGTCAATTTAAAACAACCCCATTAATTTCATAGTAATACAAATAGGATGCAACTATGGCATGTGTCACCATGACCAGAGCCAATGTCTCTAAAAATGAACACAGCTGATGCACAACTCATAACTGCAAAAACATTCCCAAAACTTGAACTTTCCATTGTGTATTCTAGGTTGAATCCAGGAGTACACGGTAGCTGTAAACCTGCATCTTTGGGAGACTGTAACCCCATAGCACATATTGAATCCCTATTCTCCGACATGCTTTCTGACTAAGAGCATATCTGTCCTGTTTGTATGGGTTCCAATTTGTCTACGCTTATCCAATGTATGGTTCATGCTTGACATCAGCTTAGAAGAGGGGGGTGGCAGAATTTAAGGGGAAACTAAAATGATCTATATTGAAAAGGAAAGTACAAACAGAACTTGAAAAACAGTTACAAAAAAAGTAAATAGTCATCTACAGTGAGATATAGTATGGCAAGGTTTGTACTATTTTGTATTGCTAACTATATGATTAAAAAAGACATTAGTTTGGAACTGAGAAAGCTTCATCGGATTGAGGAGAAAAGGAGTAACACAGCTTGGTATCACCACATACAGATGACACCAGATCTACAAACTCTGAACAAGCTCTTCCAGCACTATCACATGCATGTTAAACAGTATGGAGGACAAAATCAGATTCTTATTGACCCCACAGGCTAATAGGATCACATTCTGGATCTGCCTTTCCTCAAAGGGATGAAGCCACTGAAAAAAATTGCACCTTCATGCCCTATCTCAGTAGGACAGAACAGGATCACGGTGAATGGTACTGAAAGTTACTGAGAGATCCAGCAGAGTTAACTGAAAACCTACTGTCCAGTTCCTGGTATTTGTCATTCACTTAGGGGATTAACCATGAAGCCAAGAGGAAGTTGAAAGTTATCTGGAAATGTGAAGAGCTCGAACACTACCTCTGAGGATGCTTGCCATAAATGCAGGCGAAACGTCAGGAGAAAATGCCTCTAGAACATGGCCATATAGCCCGAAAAAACCTACAGCAACCCAGCTCGAACACTGTTCCTATCCTAAATATCTTTGTGTCACCTTAGATCAAACACCAACATTTAGGAAACATTGTATGAACACCAAGCACAAAGTAGCTGCACGCAATAACATCCTGCGAAAATGTATTGGCAGCACATGGGGTGCAGACCCAAAATTAATAATGACATCAGCCCTGGCCTTGTCTTACTCAATTGCTGAGTATGCCTACCCCATCTGTCATAAATCCGCCCATGCGAAGCAGGTGAATATAGAACTGAATAAGACATGTAGAATAATCAGAGGATGTCTCACACCCACCTGTTGATAAACTCTATAAGCTAGCTGACATTGCCCCTCCCCCCACCCCATGTGTAATGGGAAGTTGCTGCCAAATGCAAGAAAAAATGCTGAACACTGTGAAAGCCATCCACTGCATGGCTATAAGCCTCCTCCTAGTAGACTCAAATCAAAGAAAAGCTTCATGAGAACCACCACTCCTCTTAATGTTCCCTTAACAACAGCAAGGGTATCCCTCTGGGCAACTAAACCAGGAAATCCCAACTGGATTCCCCCCCCCCCCCCCCCAATGAGTTTCTGACTCAAGGGGCAAAACAAGAATGGGCAACTTGGAAGTCCCTGAACATACTGAGGAATGGAGTTGGCGGATCAAAAGATAACTGTTCTGTGGAGCAGAACAAACAACTCCGCATCTGTATGCTTGCCCACAATTCCCTGCCTCATGCACAATTCCCTGCCTCATGCATATTTAAAGCCACAGACAATGCAGTCATTGTTGCCCATTTTTCGTCAAAATTTAGTCGCTTGTGCTCCATCTATTTTATCAGTTTTATACTTATTTATGCAATGCATTTGACACAAAATAAATAAACTTAGGGGATAAAATTATTTCTGCCCTAAAGGCAGATTTGAAACCAGGTAGAAATGGAACTAGATAATCTGTCTCAACAAGAAAGCTCTAGAGCTGAGTGGCTACCACACGCTCCAGTATCTTCCCCAGAAATGGATTGCTGCCTTGTTTTACTGAGGGATCGATCACATCTTCTACCCACTCAGCCAGCTCTCTCACCAACTTTTTAAATAATTCAGTAAGGGCAGGGTTCTAATAACATCATAGTAGCTCTTATCTCTCCTCTATAATTATCAATCTGTCTCCAACATTCCATTTTGGGGCAAGGTATGAGAATATGTGGGCCTCCCAGCTCCAGGGGTTTCAGGACAAGATGGCTTAACTAGATCCATTTCAGTCTGGTTTCAGATCTGGCTATGGGATTGAGACAGCTTTGACCACCTTGGTTAATGACCAATACAAGGAAAAAGGAGGTGGTGTTGTCTGATGGTTCCACTGGATTTCACAATGGCTTTCAATAGCAATGACTGTGGTATACCTCTGTGCTGCCTGGCTGGGATGTGACCTGTTTTACAGGAGGGATGTATAGAGAAAGTGATGTTACCACTGGTCTGTGGGATCCTTCAAGTTCTGTCATTCATGTCCCAAAGCAGTTGGGAGAGGACATTTGAAATTTGGGGGAATGGTGCTGTCAATATGTAGATGAAACTCAACCTCATTGCTCCTTTCCATCATAATTCTAACAAATTCCTCTAGTCCTACATTGATGCCTGTCATCAGTGATAAAGGGCAAACAAACTGAAAGTTACTCCAAACAAGGCAGCACTGTTCCTAGTCAGTCAAAAGGCAGACCAGGGAATAATA